CTTTCATATCATGTCATCAGCGCCTCCTGCATCTAAATGCCACTGACTCTTCTCCGCTTGAATACGATGGACGCATCCGCCTTGTCACCACGTCAGATTATGTACTTCGGCCATACATCGAAGAAATTATAAGTGTTAATTGCACCGACATCGTGGATGGTGACGTACTAATTCTCCCTTACGGCCATACCCTACGTAGGGGCATTGTGATCACACCAGGGCTTATTCGCTTCTTCGATGGGTCTACGTACCTAACCGCCATAAATCAAACGCCCGAGTGTGTACTGCATCCCCTGTGGCTCAACAGTATCTTGCGCGGTCGACAGTGAGCCTGTTGCGATTGTTACTCTTCCGAACAACAACCACAACGATGTCCCAAAGTCACAATCACTGCCATTCAATGCCTTTTCCACACCTGTGTCGGCAATCATAAGCACTGACTTAACACCTGATCAAACTGAAGATTTGCTCGCCCTGTTAAATAGACACAGTTCTCTATTTGACGTGAACTCGCCCGCCCTCAGCATGACTACCACCGCTACTCACAGCATCCAGACTGACGGCTTTCCTATTGTACATCGGCGTCCATATCGCGCGTCTCAGGCAGAACGCAAGATCAACGAGGAAAACTTCTCAGACATGCTACGACGCAACATCATACGTCCTTCCTCGAGTCCCTGGTCATCCCCAGTTGTTCTCATTCAAAAGAAAGATGGGACAGTGCGTTTCTGCGTCGATTACCGTGAGCTAAACAAAATAACGCGCAAGAATATTTATCCCCTCCTCGGATCGACGATGCACTGGATTCATTACAGGGCGCAGAGTATTTTTCTAGCCTCGACCTTAGGTCAGGCTGCTGGCAGATACCAATGTCAGAGTCTGATAAAGAGAAGACCGCCTTTTCAACGCCAGATGGGTTGTACGAGTTTAATGTAATGCCTTTTGGACTCTGTAATGCGCCCGCCACCTTCGAACGCATGATAGACGGCGTATTGCGTGGTTTGAAATGGAAAACGTGTCTGTGCTATCTCAATCACATAGTAGTGTTTTCATCCACGTTCTCACAGCATCTACAACGTCTTGACGAAGTCCTCAGATGCCTTGCAAAAGCCGGTCTACAGCTTAACGCCAAGAAATGTACCTTTGCTAGCAAGACAATCAAGGTTTTCGGCCATCTTGTCAGCAAAGAAGGAATTCGGCCCGACCCCGAGCTTCTATACGATCTGGGACTGCCACTGAGATCGCCGATTTAATTCTTTCTTCGCCACATCTTTTTGCGTCATGGAGCTCCACGCATTCTCCTGAGGGATCGTGGCAAAGTCTTTCTCTCGTCCAATGTCGAGCAAGTTTTGCGTGCCTCGAACACTGTTCACAAGACCGCTTCTAGCTACCACCCGCAGACCAACGGATTGACTGAACGGTTTCATCGGACCCTATCGGACATGATCGCCATGTACATTCACCCCAACCACACGAACTGGGATGCAATTCTACCCTTCGTGACATTTGCCTATAATACGGCTGCGCAACGCACTACCGGCTTTTCTTCATTTTTTCTCGTCCATGGTCGCTCGCCGAGTTTCGCTCTGAATGTCTCTTTCCTTTCGGCCCCTGCACCCTCGACGGCTCCTTTCTCTGAAAAATTTCTATCTCGTCTCGCACACTGCCGTCACCAGGCCAGTGTTAACACCGACTTCTCTCAAGACACTCGAAAATCTCGCTACGACTCGTCTCGCCGTGTTGTGAGTTTTTCCCCTGCTGATGAAGTTCTTCTATGGACACCACTACGCGTCCCCGGTCTATGCGACAAATTCATCAGTCGCTTCATTGGACCATACACGGTGGTCGAACAGACATCTCCTGTCAATTACCGCGTTTCTCCTCTTAGCGGTAATCCTGATCATCGTTGCCGAGGAACAGAGATAGTGCACGTATCTCGTTTAAAGCCTTATGCGCGACGCATTTCATAATACTGTCAAGCGACCAGGCGGCTACTTTCACCGCGCGGGGGAATTAGTGTGAGCGCGACAAGCGAATGACTCTTTATTCTCTTTGATAACATCATCACCTGTACATCTTATTCATCTGTAAATATCATCACCAGCATGATTGAGCTCGAGCCTGGCTGAATAAACCAGTTCCTCACTATATATATATATATATATATATATATATATATATATATATATATATATATATATATATATATATAAGGCAAAGGAGTGTATACCTAAGGGCTCGTTTTTCCGTGTTTTGACACATTATTAATGAGATCTAGCAGACAACAATGTCAACGAATGTATAGGCGAAGTTATTAGTACCATTGCAATGTAAATAAAAAGAAAGAAAAGTGGGTGAAAAAATAACTTGCCGTGAACAGGAATCAAGCCTACGACCTTCGAATTACGCGTTCGATGCTCTAACCACTGAGCTATCACGGCGGCCATTTCCCGAACCATTTTATTGGGTTTATAAGCGAACTTAAACGTGGGAGCCTCGGTCAGCGCTATCTGTAGCCACAGCAGCGAGTGTAGAACACCCCTTTATGAGCTTGTGTGGCGTCACGTAGCACGTGAACTTATTACGAGCGGGAAGCTGACCAATAGTCTTTCGTGTACAACCTAACGGCACCAAGTCTGCTAGTACGAGACCCTCGTTAATGAATAAGTGAAAGAAGTGTGTACCTGAGGGCTCGTTTTCCCGTGTTTTAACACATTATTATTGAGATCTAACAGACAATAATGCCAAAGAATGCATAGGGGAAGTTATTAGAAGCAGTGTAATGTAAATAAAAAGAAAGAAAAATTGGTGATTATACACACACACGCAATATATATATATATATATATATATATATAGGCAAAGGAGTGTATACCTAAGGGCTCGTTTTTCCGTGTTTGACACATTATTAATGAGATCTAGCAGACAACAATGTCAACGAATGTATAGGCGAAGTTATTAGTACCATTGCAATGTAAATAAAAAGAAAGAAAAGTGGGTGAAAAAATAACTTGCCGTGAACAGGAATCAAGCCTACGACCTTCGAATTACGCGTTCGATGCTCTAACCACTGAGCTATCACGGCGGCCATTTCCCGAACCATTTTATTGGGTTTATAAGCGAACTTAAACGTGGGAGCCTCGGTCAGCGCTATCTGTAGCCACAGCAGCGAGTGTAGAACACCCCTTTATGAGCTTGTGTGGCGTCACGTAGCACGTGAACTTATTACGAGCGGGAAGCTGACCAATAGTCTTTCGTGTACAACCTAACGGCATAAACTTATATACTATATAATATTATATCATATACTATATATATTATATTATTATATAATATATCTATATATATTATATATATATATTTATGGCAATAATACATTACATATCTCTGGTTATGGCCTCTGTTAATACATATCTCTGTAATAGCTCCTCTGGTCGTAGGAGCTATAGTGCGGAGGCATGCCCCCCTGGTTACTAACCTGTGGGGGCGACCACCCCCAGTGCTCCTTCCGGTTTTAGAGTCCTTGGCCCTGGTCCCAGAATTAAATAATTATTTTAACGACGCAACACCACCATACGACTGTGAGAGACGCCGTAGTGGAGGGCTCCGGAAATGTCGACTACCTGGGGTTCTTTACCTTGCACCCAAATCTGAGCACCCTGGCCTACATCACAGAATGAAATAGTATTATGATACCACCAGCTCCGCTGCCTAATGAGTATTCGCGATCTTCAGTCAGTGAAGCTTATTCAATATATCTTTTAGAGGCACCTGACATTGCCAACTGTCTACATTGTTTGTCTCTCTTCAAAACGTCGTGAAGCGCACACATTTACAATTAAGTAAGTAGCCCTATCAACTCGCGTAATAAAGAATTACAAGGTTACACAGATGTTACTGCAGTCTCACACGTTTTTTTTTTTTCTTTATCCAGCACTTCCTGTGCTCACCAAGCGCTGGATTACAACTGTGGAACAAAATTTCTACTTCTTATAATCTTCATCCCGAATTCACTTATTGTTGAGATCAGCATCGATCTGCTTCGCGAATCCCGATATCCATTCGCCTTCCGAAACGACAGATATGTAGAAAATGAAGACGACGTTCCTTGAAATGGCATTTCCCCTGACCTGCCACCTGCCCGACATAATGGGTTAATGGAATGGAATGAAAAAACTTTATTTCAGTCCTGCAGGACGCGGTTAGCGCGTAGCGGGCGTCTCCCACGTAGGGACCGACAGGGAGTACCTGGCGGCCGCTTCGTGGGCCTGCTGGACGGTCCATTGCTGGTCGGCGAGAAGTGAGCTCCTGAGGGACCTCTCCCACTTGCTTGAGGTAGAGTCGGGAGGAGTTGTTCTACACTCCCAGAGCATGTGTGCGAGTGTCGCTGTGTGTCCACATGATGGGCATGTGTCGCTGGGGTATGCATCGGGATAATAAACGTGAAGCGTGGCAAGGTTTGGGTACGTGTGTGTCTGTAATAGGCGTAGGGTTAATGCCTGCGGTCGGTTAAGTTTCAGATGTGGGGGTGGAAAAATGCGGCGTTCCAGGTAAAAGTGCTTTGTAATTTCATTGTACGTAATTGGCGCATCCCGATTGGTATCTAACCCAGCAAGATGAGGTTGCCCTGTGGCAGTGCGGTCGGTAAGTGCGCGCGCTGCATCATGGGCGATCTCATTGAGGTTGGATAGGGCACCCGGCACCTGGCCGAGATGGGCGGGAAACCAGATGACAGTGTCGTGCTTCAGATGGGTTAACTTTTTTTGTAAAAAAGCACCTTGATAATAATGATGATAATGATGCATCTTGAGTGGTTAATAACCACTCGGGGGAGTTTGACCAACAAATGATTATATAAAGGAAGAACCTACCTAAAAACAGAAAGAGTGCAATAATTGTTTTTACCACATAGCATATTCTGACCAAGAAACCAACCTTACGCCTATCTTCACCATCTTCACCTGAGCAGCTTGATTGCTGACGTGTAATATAGCAAAAGAATGACAACGAAGATTTCGTGCGCTCCGTGGAGAGCCACGCGCGTTGCCGGCGAAAGAGGCTCGAGCTCCGTCAACGACATATTGCTAGAAGCTTCGGTGGGTAACATACCTGTCTCAACCGAAGCAATAGCCAGCGCTTGCGAGGACGCCGCGACTGACGTCGAGGAAGTCAAGTTCATTCCCGATCTCGACTTCTGGGACCCGACGGCGTCCCGCCTGCGGAAGAATGTCACGCCATCGTTCCAATGTCTGCACCAGATCAGGCGCGACGTAATGGACCTTTACGCTAAGCCTATTCCCGGAGTAAGCATTGTACCTGATGACAGAGACATCACAAGAATATACGGCCTCTTGCTCGGGCCTGCGGGTACGCCGTATGAAGGTGGATTTTTCCGTTACTTCGTGAAATGCCCACCAGACTTCCCAGCCCATCCCCCTCGCGTCAAGCTTTTGACAACCGACGGCGGACGAGTAGGGTTCGCGCCGAACCTGAACGAAGACGAAATGATCTGCTTGTCTCTCGTGGGTACATGGCCGGGACCCGTATGGAGCCCTTACGAGCACAGTCTTAGGACGGTGCTGATTGCCCTCAAGTCGATCATGACGGACGACCCATTCAACAACGTCCCGGCTCTGGTAAGGGGCAAAGAAGACGAAGCCGGAGCATACAAGGACTACTTGCTGCACGAGACCCTCAGAGTGGCCGTGATAGAGGAGGTTGCGTCCGCCCTCCATCCAGACTCCTCGTACAAGCCAGAGCACAGGAAATTTATTCTTGTGACATTCCTGAAGTCCTACAAAGCACATTTGCGCACCGTACGGCTCCAGATACGGCGCATGGTAAACAAAGGGAGAGATCCGTTCAGAGGTCGCACGACCAGGTATGATTATGATTTTATTCTTATCCGCCTGGAGCGCTTGTACGACGCCGTGTCAGAGCTCAACGAGAAGGGCATCTTCGACAAAAAAGTAGACTTAGTTGAATACTTGAGGGTTCGTCTCCATGGCCCGCCACGTTGAAATAAAATTGTCTGTTTTGTCTTGCTTTGATGCACTGTCTTTTTGTTCGTTGGTATTGATACCGGAAGCTGCCCCTTGCTGCGCATTCAGAAGAATGTCCAAATGTTTTCGTATATAAGCGATTCTCTGAAGATTTGTGAAACCTAAAACCGGGCCTCGTCCCATAGCAACTTTTTCAATGCGTAGGACTGCTTAGAGGACTGTAGGCACTTGCAGCCCTGTTGCAAAAAAGGGCATCCCCAGCGTGATGCCAGTACGATTTGTGGTACTGGTACACGCGGGAAACACTGGTGGACGCAGGTATTTACTGGCATTTCACTGGGTGCACAGGGAAATAGCTGTGTCGCACTGGTAGGGGCACTGGCTTAACCATTGTGATGCTTGTGTACTCTGGGATGCGCTGGAATTTTCACTGTCAAGAACTAGCGAATACTGGAGCATGCACTGTTTCTACTAGCGCAGCGTGCAGATTTATGTAGCGTGTGCCGTGGTATGTTTCGGTGTCGTTGAATATAAAACTGTTGAGTCGACGGCACGGATAGATGCTACCCTATAACAGATCCTGAGCATACGTAATTTCTGTAAATCACGCGCATATCGAAGCAATATAAGCACATTTTCTGCATGCCTTCACGTATACCAGCCATATTCGCTTCAGTCACGTGGTGCTGCAACGATTCCATATTGCAGTGTTTAAAAGCCTGGAGCTGGACGCCACTCCTAACAGGAACAAGAAATTGTTTATGCCGCCAAGTTGACGAAACGTAACTTAGCTGTCGTAAAACAGCTGTCATTCGATTCCACCACACCAGAAATCGATGTCTCGCCAAGCTTATCCTTCTACTTAATTCATGTAACATTTTTAAATGTTCCGAAGCTCAAATAGAGAATCTTCCACCATCCCAACTCACTGCGTCGAAAGCGGTTTTAACCTATGCCCGGCCCAACAAGCATTTGGCCTGCCGTGCCGGCGTATATGTTACTGGCGCTTCTTGCTTTGTGTACACACAATTTTAAAGTGTGAGAATGACTGTATAGTTTAGATATAGATGAACCTAAATCAACAATTTCGCCTTGTGTCGATGTCCGCATAAAAAGCGCTGATGATCGATGCGTCGCGCTTTCAGCTACGCAGGGTGACACCGAAAGCTCCCGGCCACACTTAGCCGGTACTTCTCTGAATGATATGTAAGAACGCACAATTTCCAGTTGGTAATTCGGTACGCCTGTGTGAACCGACTTCCTGGCATAGTTTTTAGCATTTGCATCCGTATTTATTTGGGTGATTATTTAGTTATAGGTATTGATAACACTGCAAATCTGTACACTGACACGCCCGCTGTATACTTCCAGTGGAGGCCACAAAAACAGCTTTTGCTCAATATCACCACTCTGGAAAGTGATGTGTAGCAATGTTTGACCTTCTACTTACTTCGGGTACAGTTTCGATAACAGAACTGTTGCAACAAATGCAGAAACTTCAAGCATCGCAACTCCGCTGCGTCGAGAGCGGCCTTACCCGGTGCCCCGTCCCAGCGAGGATTAGTCCTATCGTGCCGGCCGCGTCGGCGTACATGCTACCGGCACTTGTTGCTTAAAGTAGGCACAATTCCAAATAATAATCACTGTAAAGTACAGTTTAGACGTCCCTGAGCCTAAATCGACCTCCTCGTGTGCGGGGGCTGCACAAGGAGCGACGACGATCGATGTGTCGTGCTTTAAGCAACCCAGGCTGTCACCGAAAGCTTACTACCGAGCGCAACAGCCGGTACTTCTCTGGCTTGTATGTAAGAACACGTGATTTTGAGTTGGTAATTTGGTGTCTAGTGGTTAAGGTACTCGGCTGCTGACCCGCAGGTCGCGGCATCTAATCCCGGCTGCGGCAGATGCATTTCCGATGGAGCCGGAAACGTTGTAGGCTCATGTACTCAGATTTGGGTGTAGGTTAAAGAACCCCAGGTAGTCAAAATTTTCGGAGCCCTCCACTACGGTGTCTCTCATAATCATATCGTGGTTTTGGGACGTTAAATCCCACATATCAATCTAGTTGGCAATTTGGTATGCCTTATTGAACTAACACACTGGCATACTTTTTCAGCGGATTGCATTAGTATTTTCTGCAGCGGTTTTTTAGTTGCAGGTATCGATATAACTGCAAATATGTACACTGACACGCCGGCTGTATACTGCTATATTGTCGCTTGCATGAGAAAATCAGTATCGTGTGCGCGCATATGTACCGAACAAGTCATTATATATCACCTGTACATGTTGACCAGTAGCAAGTGTGAGAAGCGACTATCAAAGAAAAAAAAATATCGGCAGTAACAGCAGACAATCTGTGGCTGCTCTTCCAGTCAATTTGAGATTTTTCAGATTCAGGTTGTAGATTCTTCGAAAAACTTTGCGCTCTTGCCAATATTCGCACGTCATTTGGTGTACGGAAGCCGGTCGTCACTGTCGAATCAAGAGGCAATTGTTATTTGGAAAGAAATACCACGTCAATCTTTACTGCGCGATTTGTAAACATGAAGTCAGATGGCGTGTTTTCAGGACAAATGGTCATTTCACAACCCAGCTACATTTTCTGGCGTAGCGTACTGGGTAGAGTCCATGGATTGGAATTCCAGCGTGATTAGTTCGAGTCCTGTTGTTCAGCAGTTTTTTTCATTGAGAATGTGCGCAACATCGCTTTTTTTACTTCTATATCTTTTTATTTATGGCGAATGGGCATCCCCGTTTTAACCCTGTGAAGTCGTTTTGCGCAGAGTACCCGGCGCCTAGCAGCGCTGCTACTGGGGCGCAGCCGCTCCAGCTACCCAGTACCGGCACGATACTGGGCCCATAATCAGGCACGGCGCTGGACGCTGGTACCCAGTGGCGCTGGTTTTTGCAATAAGGAGAGTTCCTATCTACGCATTTATCTAGATATCTTCATCTAACCGCCTACGTCTGAGCGCTTTTGTGATGACCTCCTAGGGTTCAGGTTGACCGAAATTCTTATGGGAGGGTAACAGCATACGACGAATATGTCTCGCTGGTCATGACACAAATAACGTGAAAATGCCCTCGCGTGAGTCGTCCACAGGTCGGCAAAACTTGGGCAGCTCACTCGGACTCACTCATGAAATTTATTTTGAGCGCTGTAGTCGCTCGGCCTCTGATTCACGAAAGCATTACTCGCCAAGACACACTTAGACTCACCGCTCGATGTGAGACCCAATGGGTCGACTCAGGGAGTTCATCAGTCCAGATTTAATTTTCTCGACCATGCATGCTGTCAATGCTTTTCAACACCAATATCTCGCCTAATCGGTGCTCTTCTTGGCACCGTTTGACATAATACCTTCGACAACGAGTTATGAGTGCTTGAATACCTTTAAAGCCATTTTTCTTGGGAGATATGATAGCATGAGGTATATTTATGAAGAACTTTCTTAGAAGAGTCGGTGGAGAGGGAAGTGAAGGCACCCCTCGTGAATCTCGCCTCTGATCATAAACATTGAAATAGTGCATGAACGACAACACTGCTTTGGAATACCTATGAGTAGATGTGAGTATAAACTTGAATCCAAACACGGCTCATAGTAATGCAGAAGATGACTAGTTAGGACTTCAGGTAAGCAAAAGTAGAACTCACTCAAGAAATACATACTGCGTTTTGTACTCACTCGGACTCACACTCAAGAATATATTCTTCAACCGGACTCACTCAGACTCAGACTAACGAAAATATTACTCACCCAGACTCACTCTCAGACTCGCCGCTCGATATGAGCCTGAGTGAGTTAACTAATGAGCGAGTTCGCCGACCTATGGTGCATACTTCAAGGACTTAGAGCATGAAACTTTTCCGAACTTTCTATGGATCCACTATGTGGCCTTAAGGGAATAGGCACGGTATAGGGTGTGTGCCTTGTGTAGGGGGTGACCGGCAATAAATCGTTATAATATAGGACAATTAATATAAGATATTATAACAGTCACATGCTCTGACGCCCGGTGGCAAAAAGGGCTTGTACCACGCAATGTTGATGCAACATTTCAATTTGTAGCGTGAAGCCTGTATACATGACGCGTGTATTTGTGAAGCATGAAAGTTACTTTCACTGCATTTCTAAGCAGGGCAAATTACTTTCACTTTACTAGGAAGCAGCCGAGTGGCCTCTGAGAGACATACATTTTGCGCACTCGTTTCAAGACATTATGACCCAGCAGATCGAAGGACAATAAACGGTACAATGGATGCGGAAAAAAACATACATAGTAAATACTTGTATAATAGTTTTTGAGGCACTGCCTACAACTAATATGTACAAAAGTGAGCTTAAGGAACCTAACTGCAGAATAAACTTCCTGCAGAAATTCCCACAAAGGTGGGCACTCGTAGAAGTTTGAAAATAACTAGGTCAGGGAAGCAATTCACAAAAGTAACCTGCAAGAATGAAGAATTACGGCATGAGAATTGTCAATGAATTTGAGCACATGGACCTACAGCACTTTCGCCTAGACATTACTTTTCGTGCAATCGTGACCGAGCGAGGCAATTGGCTGCGAAAAGTGTGTACCTTTCTTGAAGCACACCTACAGCAACTGTCTATCTGTGACACGTTTAGCATATCGAACTTGTCCGTTTTCTTAAGGTATTCAACCGCAGCAAAGGTAGACTTTGACAGTTGGATATACAGGACTTGTAATATTGAATGTCACCCACAGGTCGCGGGATCGAATCCCGGCTGCAGCTGCTGCATTTTCGATGGAGGCAAAGATGCTGTAGGCCCGTGTGCTCAGATTTGCATACACGGTAGAGAACTTCTTGTGGTTGAATTTACTGGAGTCCTCTTCTACGGCATCTCTCATAATCATATGGTGGTTTTGGGACGTTAAACACCACACATCAATCAAGATTCGATGTCGTTTGATAAACTTATAAAGAGTAACTTAAAAGCGTGGCGGTTTGGACTAGTTGGTATGACATGACGATTGTTATAACCCGAGAT